CATTGGATCAGGCTCTTGAAACCCAAATACAACCAACAATATAGGATAAATAACTGTTAGATCTTTATATTTATATATAAATATTATAATCTTATAGTTATTTATGATTTCAGTGGATCTAGTGTCCACTGAAGTCAATGGGAGTCTTTTAATTGGAAATGTCACTGGGCATTTGGAGGTTGAGGGACCGGAGCCTTTTCTGTGTTCATGCACAGATTTTTCTCAAATCCAGATCTAAGTTTCAGGTCTAGAGGGAACCATTATGATAATTTTTATAAACAGGTCAGAATAGATTAAGCCAGAGGGATCTGTCTCAGAACCAAATGGAACCAAGAAATGACCTTGTCATGACTGAGTTTGTCTGGATGGAGGGCAGATGGTTAGTGGGGATAAGAGAAGTGGTTTTTCCTTTCATAAGAAGCACACTGTTTCCCAACCCCAGAATGCTGCACGCTCACAATGAATTTTGAAAACTGATAAATTCACACGTTTTTTCTTTGCATTGCCACTGCTTCTCTACTGATATTTTCCAGCGAGGACCTGAAGGAGGGCTCACAATGCCCCTGAAAGAAAGTTCATTTTGAGGTAGTTTGGGCCTGAACTAGGAAATACCAGGAATACCATGTTCCTGGGCAAATTCTAGCCCAAATTTCCATAGGATCTGATAGGTCAGACAAGCACCCAAATAATAATATTTAGACCTTCTCACTGAAGAGCTCACTGTGCTTTGCAAACACCAATACATTTACCCTCACAACATCCTTTTGGCATAAGCAAGTATCATAGTCCCTATTTTCCGTGTTAAGAAATGGAGGCACAGAGAAGATAAGCAATTTACCTCACAGTATGTGGCAGAGATTAGATCTAAATGCCATTCTTATATCTAAGCTTCAGGGCCTTCTTCAAACACTGGGGAGTCTTATCTACACTGAACCAAAACTTTAAACCTTCGAGGGTTTGCCCATCACTTGATTTAAGAGGAACCTGTGGTTTCTCTCAACACATATAGTAGTGACATAATTCTGAAGTTACCCTGTTATCACAGTACTCTACTTCCAGTCTCTCTGTTCTTTACAACTTTATTGATAAACTGAATATCAAACTCACTCTTCAAATCTTTTAATAGGAGAAGACTCCCAATACTTTAACACTGCCCATCCAGAGAGCTAGTTAATTTTTAAAGGGCTTCTATGTCCTACGGATGTGGCAAAGCTTACTACCTCATTTCACATAGGGTGAGACTGAGTACCGGAGACTTGAAATGACCATTCCCAAACCACCCATTGTGACTGGCAGGTTCAGTCTTGCACTCTCTGGCCACTAGACTGATGGTGATGCAGCCTACTGAGGCTCTACCTGCAGCCTACAGACCTCCTGTCTGCCTCTCTCCACAAAGTGCCTCTCCCACTCCCCCCCTTCCCTCCCAGAGCTGGAACGCCACAAATCAGAGCTCTGAAACTGCTGGGAGGGGAGGAGCTGGTAAGTGTGGGGCTCCAGTGCCCCTGTGCAGGAGAGGCATGGGGGAGAAGGAGATAAACATGGTGGGGAGGAATGCAGAGCTGCTGCAGCCCACTGAGGTAAAGGAGGCCCACTCATGATTTGTGGTTGCCAATGACTGTACTAGACAGTCCTCCGTTTGTCAGCCAGGATGTCTGATGAATACCGGCTCAGGCAAAAGTTAATTGGAGCCTGGTTATACAGACAACAGGGCCCCTACTGTCACTCGCCAATAGACTTCTCTTCTCAGTCAGGCAAGTGGTCATGGGCTGTACGCTCACTGCCACGGCGCCTCCCACTGGTCACTAAGGGAATCATCTCCCTGCCTCAGAGTGCCCTCTGCTGGTCCGTGTCCTAGCACCTGGTGCAGGTCTTCTGCTGGTTCAGCCAGGTGTCACTTTCTGCCTACAGTGCCCTTTCCTCCTAGTACTGCCCTATGTCAGTGCCCCTGCACTCTGGGGTCCTCCCCTCTCCTCCCAATTCCCCGATACCCACCTTGCTTCAGTGACCCACTGAAGGAGTGAGGAACATTTTGGAATAGCAGGTTATTTCGAAATTTGGTGCTGTTGTAGACAGCACAAAATTACAAAATAAGCTATTTTGAAATAAGATCAGAATAGGATACGCAATTTGCTCAAATTGCATACAGGCAGTCCCCGACTTACGTCGGATCCGCAGTTACGAACGGGGCTGCCCCAGGGTACACGGACTGCGGGACCTCGCGGTCCTGCTGCCCGTGTACTCTGGGGCTTTCTCTGCGTCTCCCTGGTCTGCAGACCAGGAAGATGCAGAGCAAAGCCCCGGAGGGGCTCGGGCAGTGGGGCAGCCCAGGCGCGCCTGGACTGCTCCGCTGCTGGCTTTCCCACAGCTTTGCAAA